CAGATGTAAATCCATCCACCTACGGTCACCTGATCTTCAACAAGGGCCCAAAGTCCATCAAATGGGGAAAAGATAAGTCTTTTCAACAAATGTTGCTGGCAAAACTGGATATCCATCTGCAGAAAAATCAAACAGGACCCATACCTTACACTATATACAAAAACTAATTCAAAAATGGATCAAAGACCTAAATATAACGCCAAAAACTATAAAGTTCATAGAAGAAAACGTAGGACCGACGTCACAGGCCCTAATACACTGCACTAACAGGATACAAACCATAACCATCAACACACAAACTCCAGAAGACTTGATAACTGGGATCTTCTAAAACTCAACCACCTACGCTCTTCAAAAGACTTCACCAAGAGTGAAAAGAGAACCTACAGACTAGGAAAAAATTTTTAGACATTACAAATCAGACAAAGGTCTAATCTCCATAATCTACAAGAAAATCCAACACCTCTACAACAAAAAGAAAAATAATCTTATTAAAAAATGGGCAAAGGTGTCGCAGCCCCTCACACGGGCCACCATCTGTCGCAGCAGCGGTGAATGTCGGGACGGCGGAGACAGTAACCAAACACAACTTTTACAGAGAAATGGGGCCAGGAAGGTTACTCTGAGGAGTCGACCCTTGGCTTCAGTCCCAGGAGTTTATTTATAGTCAATACAGCAAGCAGTGAAGCAAATAACAAAACAATGGGCTTTGGGTGAGTAACAATAAGTTTCGGGCAAGGGAGAAGGAATTCAGGTAAACAAGCCAATCAGTAACGGGACAATAGGTTTGGGAAAACAAGTCGCGACGAGTCTCAACATGCTGGGGACAAGTCTCAACATGCTGTGCAGCATACAGGCCAGTGGGAGCTGCAGTTGTCAATAGTGCAGCCATGTTTAAATGGCATATATCCCCACATTTCCCCCCTTCTGTTTAGTTAATGGAATAAGAATCAAGAGGGTTTTCATTGGTCCAACAAGTGTCCGTCAGGACAAAGTAAAATTTTCTCTACGAGATAAAGTCCAAGACTATCTCAGCTACTGTCTCCACACCTTACGGCCTGGCGTCTTAGTCCTTGTGAGCCTAGCTACAGCTGGGGCACACTCCATATGTTTAAGGAGGAGCAGTAGCATAGCTATGAGTAACACCTGGACTTACAGTCGCCTAGATGGCGGCCACAGCAGGCTCTTTAAACTCACGGTGCTGGTTTTCCACCGGATACCATCTGGTTTTTCACCAGGTCGTTACTTAATGCCTGGGCTTAATGCTCCTAGATGGCGGCCATAGCAGGCTC